ACCTGGGGGCAAGCTTGAAATACTTAATTTGCACTTGGCAAGGGGTATTCTCCTAAAATTTCAGCTTTCCAGCTTTTCTGATTCCCGAGTGCCTGCGGCCTGAATTTGACAACTTTAAGCTGTATACGTGTTGGTAACGTTTCCTGAAAATTTCAGGTTCTCAGCTTTCCTGGTTCTCAAGCTAGCGATTTTTGTGCCAGAAACCCTCACGGAGCCGTACGCGGGAACCACGCACACCCGTAGGCTGAATTTGAAATTTTCGAGTTCTGTGTGGATGGGGAACATAATCTTAAAACTTCAGCACTCCAACTTTTCTCGTTCCCGAGTTAGCAGTTTTCTCGCCAAAACTCTCCCCAAAGCTTCAGCCCCGCATACTCCCCGAAGTTTCAGCCTTCCAGGCTCTGGTTCTTGAGTTAAAAGTGTGTGGCAGAAACACATACACTCGCATGCGGGGCCCAGACATGCGTGAGGGTTGGTACCGCTGTCCTGCGGCGGTACTTGGCCGGAGAATCCACTAGCAAAATTTTTTGACGCCGGAGCTTGCTTGGTTGCCGAGCTGAAATACTCGAACAGACGAATACAAACAAAAACGTACATTCATAAGGAGACAGGGCCGTCGCAATATGCGTTTTTATGCGTTTTTGCACATATGCAAATTACAAAAACACAAACTGGGAAGGGGCTGTGTATGTGTGTGTATGTGTGTGTATGTGTGTGTATATATGTATGTGTGTGTCTGTGTGTTCGCACTTCTTGCCACACACTTTTAACTCAAGAACCAGAACCTAGAAGGCTGAAACTTTGGGGAGTATGCGCCTGTACCATGAGGGACCCTCCTTTTTATGCGTTTTTGCATACATGTAGGTTGCAAAAACGCACATTGGGAAGAGGCTGTGTGTGTGTGTGCCTGTGTGTTCGCACTTTTTGTCACCCATTTTCAAATCGAGAACCTGAAAAGCTAGAAGGCTGAAGCTTTGAGGACATGTGCCTATACCATGCGCGACCCTCCCATTTTAATTTCATCCCCAGCGGACGCCTGGGTGGCGCATACGAACGCTTTAAAAAATAAGCAAAGTTTTTGGTGGGAAAGGGATCTCGAGAACCACACGAGCTAATGGGCTGAAACTTTGCAGGAATATACCCTGCGCATGTACTAGCTAAACAATTCAAATTCAGCCCTCAGATATGCATGGTTCTCACGTACGGACGTATCAAATTTTCTGCAGGAAAATTACTAACTCGGCAAACAGATGAGCTGGAAGGTTAAAATTTTAAGAGGATGTTCCGTGTCCAAGTGCAATTTAAAAATTTAAAATTCAGCTTTCCAGATACGTGGAATACCCACGTACGGGTATGTGAAGGTTTTGGCGGGAAAATCGCTAACTCGGTAATCAGA